ATTCGAGAGAATGTAAAATTATGGTATACTGTATTCAATGCAAGAAATAATTATTTTGAATGCTGAAAAATCAATATTGAATGTCCTATTCAAAATAATGTGCGTTTCATTTCATTTCAATAAGATAAAATTAACATTGGACTTCAAAATAGGTATTTTTTCTCACCCCATAAAAAATGAGTGAAATTGTTAAAACAATCTTGAGTATGGTACATTTCCCTGAGGATGGGACCTCAGGTTTAAGAGAACGTATAAATATAAAAACTTATTTAAACAATGTTTCTGCTAAAGATGATGATGAAACAAGAACAATCATATTACTAAATAAATTGTTTCATTTATTCGATCTATCTGATCGATACATAAAATTAATAACTAAAACATATCCTCTTATTAAAAGTCAATATCAACAAAAGGAAACCATAGCTTTATTAAATAAACAATATGATGAGTGTAATATGGAAAAAAAATTCCTAGAGACTGATAGCAGAAAAAGAACGCGAAATACTCGATTTAAATAAACAAGTTGACAAGTTTACAACTGAAATAGAAAAACAAAAAAATATAATAAACAATTTAGAAATTGAAAACAATAAATATGAAGAAGAATTGAAAACCCAAATATTTATTTTAGATCAATTAAATGAATGTGAAGATAAAATTGAGGAAAAGGCAAACAAATAAAAGAATTAGATAATAGAAATATAGAAAAAGATAAACAACTAACTGAAAAAGACAAACAAATAACAGAATTAGAATATCAAATTAAACAGTTAAATATTCTAATTAATTCAAATAATACTGAAATAAAATCTAAAAACGTTGAACTCAATAAAAACCTACAACTATGTACCACACAATTATCTGAACAAAAACAAGAAATAAAGAGAATAAATGAAGAATTAACTCAAAGTTATAGACATATTAATGAAAAACATCAACTAGAAGAAACTTACAAAAATGAACTTGAGAAATGTAACTACGAAAAACATGAACTAGAAAAAACCTATATGAAACAACTTGAGGAACAAAAACAAGCCCATCAACGGCAATATAAGGAGTTATTATCACTCAAAACAAAAGAACTTGAGAAACATCAACAAGCAGAAGAAACTTATAAACAACTTCAGGACCAAATGCTAAATAAATATAATGAATTATTGGCGAATATAAACACAATAAATAATTCTAATAATACATTATTTAATAATTTTTTAAAAAAATCTATATTATCAAATGATGATATAACTGAATGTTTTTCAAATATATTGTTTATAAATAATAGTTATTCAAGTGAAAAAAATAAACTAATTGAAGAAATAATAATAAAGATTATTGATCATTTTAATACAGAACACAAGAATTATATTCAACAAGAACATATAAATAGAATGGCTAAGTTAAATGACATTATTAACAATAGTAATTATAATAATAATGATCTACAACCGGAAAATATAGCAAATATATTATTTACTAACGAGGAAGAAAGAGGGTTATTTAATCATATACTAAATAGTTTCAAAACTAATATTACTGATGAAATAGTAGAAAAACACAAAAAAGAATTAATGCCTTATGTTGATTTAAATGTTGTTTTAAAGCGTCAGTTACAAGAACCAAATTATTTGGCTAAAATGTTAGTAGATGAACTTACATCTATGGATTTAGTTAAAGAAAAGATAATAGAACAACTTGCGGATTTATACAAATATACAAAAGAAACAAATTATGAAGTTATAAAGGTATATACTTTTATTACAATTATATATACAATTTATCAGAACGAACTTAAAAAAGATTTTAGCATACGAAATATAAAACACTTTTATGTAATTATCTTGCAAGTGATTCACAAATCATATGGTGATACTTCTAAAATATTAGCCATTCAACAAATGCAGGAATCAGAAAATTCGATATTAAAACAAACAAATAAAGAAATGAATTCTAAAATGTTAGTCATGGCTTCTGAATTAAAAGAATCGAAAATACATTTGTCGATGATTAATACAATTGACGTTTCTTCTGACTATGATGAAACTCTAGTAGAAAAGTTCACTTCTATTATCAGAACTATTATTAATGAACTCGATGCTTACCTATCAGAGAAGTGCCGAAAAAAATATTTGTTATTAGCATTCGATCAGATTAAAGTAAAAGAAATATTTTGTAGGAATAGTGTTGCCAAAAATGAAATGAAACAATTATTCTATTCTCTTTCGAATCATATTTCTAAATTTATATTCTGCGCCCAGTTCTATAAAAATCTTGTTACGGTAATAAACGATAAAATTCTTATGCCTTCTATTCAATTAAACCTATATTTTTCACAAAACCTATATGACATCGATACTATGAAAACAGCTTTATTAAACTCCCAAAATATAAAGAAAGCTATTAAAACCCCTTCTGTTTTTCCCATTATATATAATATTAAGGGTTTAACATTGATTGGAGAAAAAATTAACATTAACGACGATGAAATTTACAAAAACCAAATAGTGTCTATTGATAACAAGGATAACAATTTAAAATTACTTACATTATTGAACAGTGATGATATTGAACAAGAAAAGAAATGGTTTATTGAAACACAAATAAAAAAGAAGTATTTAAATGTAATCGGCGATGAAATCATTTTAAAAACAATTTCCTCTCAGAAAGTTTCATCACAGGAAACAACAAAAACATCAAAAACATATAAAACAACAGATTCGGGGACAAAAAAAAAAGATGCCAAACAACGATCAAAATTAAATACCCAAGACAGACGAAAAAATGAAATATTGACTCTGAAAAAGAATCAAAGAGGAAAACAGTTCATGAATAGGAGAGGAACAGATGGAAAGCAATTGGAAGAGGAAGTTGATATTAATCCAATAAATGACACCAGTTCATCAGTTGAAGGTAAAGAATGAGGATATTAAACCAATAAATGACACTAGTTCAATAGTGCTAGAAGAAAAGAAGGAGGTTGAAAAGGAAATAGAAGAGGATGTAATAATGCTAGACGAAAAGAAGGATGATAAAAAGGACTTTTTTTTGGGGGGGGGGGGGATAATAATAAAAAAATTAAAAAAAGGAGTAGCAGGTCGGGGAGTAGGCAAATTAACTCAACTCCAAAAAAAGAGGGAAAGAGAATAGAAAGATTTTAAGAAAACATTCAGCCTTTGATTATATACTACTTATCCATTAAATTATGTGTTTATGATCTAACAAAATAATCAGAATTAGAATTTAGTAATCGGCCTATATTAATAAAAATATAGAAAATATTAATGAAAATAACTTGTATTGATTCAGCAACCTATGGTGGAGGGAGGGGGATGGGATAGTGGTATAAAAGGAGAATTTCTGCCTATTTAAGAGTCACAAACCCTTGCTCTCTCTCCAGCTCCAGTGTCAGGTGTACAGTCTACTGAAATTAAGCAGTTTATCATTCAGTAGGGTAGTGGCGGGCGTCATTACAGTTTAACTATTGATCCATATGCAGTCATCTAGTCCATCATAACAACAAGCTTCAATAATCAATTCCTTACCAGTTCAGTTTATGAATCAAATCATAAAAAAAACCACACACTCGTATTTCTTATTGTTATAGTGCCTATATTAACTACTTATGTGTGCAATGATCAGGTACAGCCGAAGCTGAAGGAACAAGTCAGAATATACCACTTCCTAAGCCATTTGGAAACATATAAAGAGAGTATAGTGTAAAACGATTGACTTGTAATTATTTGTCTCTTTCAGGTAAATTAACATTTAGAGATTGATTTTTTATTCATTATACTACAGTAAAATACAATTATAATAGTAATTTTAATTTATTGTTATTCGTTCTTTCCTCCCTCTATCCTCCCCCACCCCTTGTTTCCGAACTGATGAAGGGTTTCGAGATAACTACTAACTCTTCTGGGGAAGCAAAAGAACAAGCTGAAAGAGGTCAAGCTGCATCTGTCTTACTTGAGCAAATGTCTTGTTTGGTTGAATCAACGGTAAAAGCAAGGTCATCTTCTTCATCTTCTTCCTCATTATCGTCTTTATCTTTGTCCTCATCGTCGTCCTTATCGTCGTCCTCAGACACATTCGAAAGTGACCGGTTGATTGACAAACTAAAGGGCTTGGTACTAAATAAGGCCATAAAGAGAAAGATGAAGAAGAAAGAAAAGGCACTAAGGAAGCTTGATTCTAGAAAAATCAAATGGCCATGGTCTTCAGATGGAGATGATGACACCAAGTCAGGGGAGGAATGGGAGAAGCAGGAGAATGTGGAGGAACGTGTCTTCGGTCAGGAAACAACAACAGGCACAGGTATGTATTTGTAATTAACTTATTATTTATTTGTTTATTTGTTTGTTTATTTGTTTGTTTATTTGTTTATTTATTTAACTTAATTATTATTTGTAATTGTCGGTCAAAAAAATTTGACCGACAATTTTGAAGATGATGAAGAAGAAGAATTAGGTGGTTAGTAACTTTATTATACAGCTGAAGGCATTGGGAAGACAACCAACTCGAAGTCTATAGAGACAAATTACCGTCTTCATTACTGTCGAGAAGTGGACTAGGGACAATTAATTAAAATATGTTTTCTAGTAACACCTGTGGTAGGGATGACATCTTTTAGACTGGAATTTTGATTTACACATGATATATAAAGTGTTCATCAATAAAAATAAGTACGTAGTTAGGTAGTAGTATTTTTTTTATCTGGGACGTGAATTTTTTTTTTTTTTTTTTTGTGGGGGGGTGCCCAGGTTGAGTGTAAAAAATGTAGTAAAATATCCACAATTAAAATTTCTATTTTTATCACAGAATTTCCACTTAGTTCCCTATATTTTTCTTACCATTATTTCAGCTTTTTACTAGGATCTGGTAAAGGATTTCAGCTGATAAACTCTATAGTCCCAATTTTAAGTCTATGAGTCAACAGGAAGAGGAGGAGGAGGAGGAGGAGGAGGAGGAGGGGGGAGGGAGATTGTGTATTATATAAAGAGAGAGAGAGAGAGATGCCTCTCTCAGTCACTAACTAGTCAGTCTAATACAACACTCACATTTTGTTTTCATAGCAATGAGAGAAGAAAAAAATCGTTTGGAGACTTTTAAGGACTGTAACTTCAGTGTAAACAGTCATGTACTTGCAAAGGCGGGTTTCTATTATACTCATAAAGCAAATCTTTTAGAATGTTCAATGTGCCATTTTCAAATTGATGCCACAAACGTAAACAAAGATGAAAATAGAATCATTGCTTTACATAAGAAAGAGAAACCAGAATGCACATTTAATCAGAACGTGAGAAGATCTATTTCTAAGAAGTTTGATTCATATGACAGTTTACGGTTTGAAAAGGAACGTTTGGATACCTACATAGATTGGCCACTTGAATGGTTAGAACCATCTGATTTGGCTCGTGATGGCTTTTACTATCTTCGAACAAATGACCACGTTGCTTGTGTCTTTTGTCGAGGCATTCTTGGTTCCTGGGAAAGAGGAGACACTCCCAGAGGCGAACATCAGTTTCACTTTCCCCATTGTCAATTCATTCGAAACCAACCAGTGGGAAATTTTCCACTGATATTTAATGAAAAATTCGAGGGTTATTCCGTTCCACTGAGAAATAGTAAAAATTCGTCCTATAGACAAGGAATAGATGTCTGTGGTCTAAGTCCTATGACAGACAATGGAGTTCACCAACATACCATTGCCAAGCGAAAAGACTACTTAACACTTGAAAGTCGCCTAGCAAGCTTTAACCATTGGCCTGAACGTGTAAAACAGAAACCAACTGAATTGTCAGAAGCTGGATTCTTCTATTGTGGTTTAAGTGATCACGTGCGCTGTTATCATTGTGGGAATGGACTTCGAAACTGGGAAACTGATGATATACCTTGGGATGAACATGCTCGCTGGTACCCAGAGTGTACCTTCCTCTTCTTGATGAAAGGAAAAGAATTCATTGATCAGGTATGTCAGCTAAGTAACTTGAAATGAAGGTTGACTATTATTATTGTAATCTTTATAAAAGCCATTTGTAACATTAACTTTATTTTTTTTTCAGGTTCAAGGGGAAAGGCCACCTTATGAGACAAACCCTTCAATAACCCATATCAATGAAGATCAACACAAACTTATTAAGGAACTAGACATAACTAAGCACCTTATTTCAATGGGTTTCCAGGAAGATTATGTGATGACAACGTATCATAATCAACTCAAAGAGAAGGGGTTACCTTTCTTTGACATTGAGTCATTTATTGAAGCAGTCTTACAGTACATGGAAAACGAAGTTAGAAAATGTCTAGTAAATAAATTGGCATTGGCTGAAGTTGATGTTGTCCCAAGCCCAGCCATATCTGATAGAAATGAGTTGGCTTCTGACACAAACCAACAAGTAGAATCATCTACAACTTTAATGGAATTGGCAATGACTGAAGTTGATGTTGTCCCAAGCCAACCAATGTCTGATGGAACTGAGTTGGCTTCTGACCAAAACCAACAAGTAGAATCATCTACAACTTTAATGGAATTGGCATTTGCTGAAGTTGATGTTGTCCCAAGCCAACCAATGTCTGATGGAACTGAGTTGGCTTCTGACCAAAACCAACAAGTAGAATCATCTACAACTTTAATGGAATTGGCATTGGCTGAAGTTGATGTTGTCCCAAGCCAACCAATGTCTGATGGAACTGAGTTGGCTTCTGACCAAAACCAACAAGTAGAATCATCTACAACTTTAATACAGCCTATAGTAGATGAATTGGCATTGGCTGAAGTTGGTGTTGTCCCAAGCCAACCAATGTCTGATGGAACTGAAGTAGAATCTACAATAGTTGATGAATTGACATTGACTGAAGTTGATGTTGTCCCAAGCCCACCAATGTCTGGTGATTCTAACCCACAACCATTATTTGGTAGAATAACTGATCAAGTTGCCACTCTCCTAAAGTCAGAAGGTACAATTAGACACAGAGTGATTGAGTGTAAGATTTGTATGGAGAATGAGAGTGAGTTAATGTTTTTACCTTGTAATCACATATGCACTTGTTTCAAATGTGCAACAAACATATCCACATGTCCAATTTGCAGAGCTGAGATAAAATATACTATTAAAGCAATTATATCATAGTAAAGAATGTTTTAGATGTGTGATAATGATATGAGATGTGCTGGTGGCTGAAGGTGCTGAGGGAGACCATATTGAAAATACTTCATACCCAAGACTCTTCTAAGAAATTAGAAAACATCATTGTCAAGAAAGTTGTGTTGGATACAAAAATATGTCCACACCTACAGTAATAAGGATGATTTTAGACCATTTACATAACATAATGTATCCTATCTATCAACCCGGCTGGAAATATATGAATTTCAAATCTTATTATTCCTATAATAAATACCTTATAATTATTATTGACGAAATATTATTCCTCTCCCCAGATATAATCTCAGATGAGGAAAAGTTGTAGTTTAGTTATACCAATGTGTGTGTGTGTATCCTTTCAAAATACATATTTCTATTTTTTTTTTGTCTTTAAGGTAGTATAAAAGTGTCACTAAGGTAGCCTGCAGCAGAACACAGTTTATAGATTAATTAGTGGTAGAGTCGCAATCCAAGCACACTACACTACATACTACCTCTTGATATAACTTTCTAGACAGTGAAAGTGAACAAACAAGCAGTACTATTCAATCTCTGGCGAAACTGAAGAAGCAAACAACCATTCCACAAACTAGTCAAGCCAATCAACCAACTTGTCTGTCAACTGATCTACAACCACCCAACCAATCTGTCCATCAACTGGTCTACAACCACTCTTTTTCTGTTGGAAGTTTCTTTCTAGGGAAGTGGATAACAATTGATCATATAAAATAAGAGAGCACATACTGTTTTTCATAATGGTTGCACCATATGAATTTGATGACATGCAATTGTCAAGGTCTTTAGTATGTGTCTCAGGCAGAACATCCACTTTCGCTGCTACAGTTCCAGTGGACCCATTGCCTCCGAAATTAGCAGGACCCAGAACACAACAGCAACTATTGCTGAATATTAATAAGCTGAAACATGAAAACCATATTATTCAACAAAATTTGTCAGTTTTGTATGAAATGTTTAAAGAACAGGAGAAACAAATTTCTATGTTGAGAAGGGGTATAAGGGAATGGAGCATCCAAAAAAGTTCCTGTTCCGAAACCACTATCTCCTCCTACTTACTCAACACACCCACCATCTCCTCCTCCTCTTCCAATTAATTCTCTCAATCCATCATCGTCCCCTACAATTTCTATGAGAATCAGGTAATTGTCACCTGATCGTAGAATTATATTAAATCAATAATTTAAAAAAAAATGAGTGAAATTGTTAAAATAATCTTGAATACTATAACATTCCCAGACAATGGTTCCTCGGGTTTGAGAGAACGTATATTCATAAAAACTCTTATTAACAATTTTGTTGTTGTGAATGATGATGATAAAAGAATAATTCTATTATTGAATAAAATGCTTCATTTGTTTACTATCTCTGATCGATATATTAAATTAATAACCGAAACATATCCTCTTAAGAGTCAGAATCAACAAAAACAAACAATAGCTCTTTTGAATAAAAAATGTAATGAATGTGAGAATGAAAAAAGTGAATTAGAAATTAAATGTGGAAATCAAGATGCCACAATAACAGATTTAAATACAAATGTGAGAAATTTAGAACTTACTATTGTGCAACTTACAGAGAAATTAGGAGACCAAGAAAATAAAATAGAGAATTTAAAGAAGGAAAATTCAACTCTTCAAGATAATCAAATGAAGCTTAGAATCCAATACGATAATGAAAAGAAACAGTATGAAACAGAATATGCAATTATGTTAGATGAGAAAGATAGACAATTTCAACATATCTCCGAAGACAAAGACAAACAAATAAAAGACTTAGCTGATGAAAAAGAAAAACTAACTGATTTAATAAATTCAAATAATACTAGTATAAGTCGTCAACAACAAGAAGAATTAAATAGGAAAATAAATACAAATTTAATGTCTCTTAAGGAATACCAACTAAAATTAGCTGCATGTGAAAACGATATAAGGATCCAGAATATACAATTTCTGGAATGCCAACAAGCCTTACAAAAATGCAACTATGATAAACAATCAGACCAAAAAGAATATAATAATTTATTAGTATCCCAAAACAATTATGTTCAAGAATGCCAACAAAAACTACTAGATTGTGAAAATTCTAAAAAAATAAAGTATGATGAATATAATACATTAGTAAAGAATATAAATGAAGCAAATAAATATAATATTGAAACATTAGAGCAACTTTATACAAAACCTACATTGTCGAATAGCGATATAATTCATTGTTTTTCAAGCATATTTCCTTTAAATGATGATAATGAATCGAAAGCAACAGGAAAATCACAAATTGAAGCAATAATAAATAAGTTCATTCATCAGTTAAATACCGAACGTGATAACTACATTCACGAAGAACGTGAAAAGGACATTAGAGATAGGATTTCCCGTTTAAATTATATTAATAATAATGATCTACGCCAAAATAATAATATTCTTAATATTTTTACTAACGAGGAAGAAAGAAATTTATTTAATCAAATATTAGAAAAATTTAAAACTAATATTATCGATGAAACAGTATATGAACACGAACGTCAAATAATACCTTATGTAAATGAAAATGATCATTTAAAACGTCAATTAGACGAACCTAATTATGTTGCTAAATTGTTAATAGACACGGTGGCATCAATAGTTTTAGTTAAAGAAAATATAAACAAACGAATTGTTGACCTGGAAAAAGATCATAAAGGAACGAATGAGGAAGTTATAAAAGTTTATGCATTCGTTACTATTCTATATACATTATTCCAGAAGGAAATAAGGCAAGATTTGAATGCAAATAATGTACAACGCTTTTATTACATTATCTTGAACGTGATTCGTAAGTCCCCTTCTGATAATATTCATGAAATACTGGCTTTACAACAACAAAATGATTTACATGTTAAGACCTTACAAGAAGAAAATGAAACAATAACTTCTAACCTGTTGACCATTCAACAGACAAATGATAGTCTCCAGGATTCCAACAAACAAATGCTTTCAGAATTAAGTGAGACAAGAATGCATTTGTCGATGATTAACCATGATGAGACTTCGGTGGACCCCATAGAATATGAAGAAACTCAAATAAATAAATTCACATTAATCATCCAAGCTGTCACTACTCAGCTCGATGCTTACTTGGCCGGGACATGCAACAATAAGTATTTAAGATCAGCATTCGAAAAACTCTCAATGAGAAAAATGTTTTGCAAGAATGAAATGGCGAAATCTGAAATGATGCAATTATTTATTTCACTTTCAAATCATATCTTCCAATTTATATTCTGTGCCCAGTTCTATAAGAATCTTGTCACGGTAATAAACGATAATATTCTTCGGCGTTCCATTCAATTAAACCTTTATTTTTCAAGAGAAATGTATAACCACAAAGATATGCTATCTGAAATATTGAACATACCGATGATAAATGAAGCTATAGAAATAGCACCCGTTTTCCCAATTCTATACAATATTAGTAAATTAACACTGATAAATGGTACGTATTCTATAAGCAACTATGAGGATAATAATCAAATTGTGTCTATCGATAACGAAAAGAAGAATTTAAAATCGATTGCGTTATTACACGAGGCTAATATGGAAGCAGAAAAATCGTGGTTCCTTAAAAACCTAAAAGTTAAGTACAAAAGTGTATTGGGTGATGACAGCATTTTAAAAGCAATCGCTTCTCAGAAAGTTTCTTCGCCTGAAACTGTTGAGAAAACAACCACACAAAAAAGAGATAAAACGAACTTAAAAGACGCAAAACAAAGGACAAAAGATAAGACTCAAGGCAGGCGACAAGTCGAGGCATTAACAGAGAAAAAGAATCTGAAGGATAGACATATAAACACTATAAGGGGAGGAATAGTTGAAAATAAATAAGAGGATGTCGATGGTAAGCAGTCAACTCATTAGAGAAAGGAATTTTGTAAATACCTCCCCCTCCCCCTCAAAAAAAAAATAAAAAAAATAAGAGACATCAGAGATTGGAAAAGGGGTTCAAGTTCATAGTAAGTGTGAGTTTGTAAAGATTTGCCACCATTCTCCAGTGTGTAATAAGCCAAATCAACTCGATGAGGATCTTTGGTGTTATGGCCAATTTTCACACAGGCATTACTAACCTTGTAATTAACCGAGATTTCAAATGACAAGGTATATTTTAATTGTTTTGGATTTCATCAGGTGTCTGATACTTTTGAGAAAAAATAATATCACATATTATATTTGTATGAGGAATAAGCTTACATTCTAATTCCATCTGAGGAAACAGTGTGAGTTCTTTCTGAAGAGAGCTTTTCGTACCACTTTTTTTTTTTCTTTGGAAGAGCAGCGAAGAGTGTGTGACTGGCCGTCAGTGGATGGCCGGCGGCCATGAATACTATATATATGGCTCAGCTGACACAGTGCTTAGTCAGAACTGGCCGTCAGTGGATGGCCGGCGTCCACAAATACTTATTTATGACTCAGCTGACACAGTGCTTAGTCAGAACTGGGACTTTACGTTGTACTAGTCTAAGGAAGATCAGCAGGCAATTCCCAAAAAATAACGAAAACATTGTTGATATTTTCAAGCTTTATTTTATGTCATATCCTATATCAAAATGGCAATTGTATAAAATGATGATTCTTCAGTTATCACAAAAATATATTTATTATGAAAATGAACATGAGCTTCTGATCAATCACATCCATCATAAAGGTGAGCTTATATATGTCGATTACTTTAATGAAGTTATAGCCAGTGTAGTTTTGAAGATGGTATGGCGGCATTCAACTAAGCGACTCTCTAATTATTGAGTCACAACTGCAATATACAACAATGCTGAGTTAGGGATGATGGGGGGGGGGGCTAGAAGGGCAAAAGA